AAAAAAGCGTTTAGAATGTAAAACTGAAGATCATCTTGTCAGGAGGAGGAGGAGGAGGAGGATGACCCCAGCTCCGCAGCCAGTGCGCAGCCAGACCAGACGCCCCGGGTGCGGACAGCGTTTCTCTTGTGCGCGCACGCCCTCTCTTTCTCTCTCGCAGTCTCACTCTGTTTCTTTTCTTTTGGCTTTTCTAAGATGACAGATGCAGAATATATACTCCCTATCTGATGCTGTGGCTGTTTGTGGCTGGCTGAGAGGGATGTGAACTTATTATTTTGCAGCTGTGTTACTGTAGTCAAATCAGGTTGGGTTTCCATTACGCGTGCCAAACGTGCCAAACGGTGCCAATCCCCTTTGATCTGACATCAGATGTGACGGGACAGTTGATATAGAGATACATTTATCGTCTCCTCAGCTGTAAAACGCTCACTCTTTCCAGTTGGTAGGTCCGCCATCTAATTAGCTCTCTGCTGTGCGCTCCAATCGCGCCTCTTTTAAAGGGAATGAGAGGTGTCACTGATTGGCTTATTGAATGATACGCCCAAAACACACCCATGACTAATTCACAGAGTAAGTCCAACCCTTTTAGACCCTCCGCCATGGCACACAGTCTGAAAACGCGCTGTCTAACTAGCAAGTGACTGGGACACGCCCATGTGCTGCACACCTGGCGCTTTGCGTTTTAGACCATCTAAATAGTTGTTGGCAAATGTTCTGGCACATTTCATTTTTGACAAGTCTTTCCTCCCGTTAATCAAACTGCACTTCAGCAAAGCAATGAGGACTTACAGCAGCAAACTTCATGGTTCACCTGATTTATGACCGAATCAAATGCTAGTAAATGCTTAGGGAAAAAAAGGTGAAATTATAATTTTATTTTTGTCAGAATGACAAAGATTAGAAATCTTCAGGGATGGAAAATCAAAACAAAATGAAACGGGGACGTAAGAGTGTTCAAACCTTAGTGATGCAGAACAGTTGGGTCCCCTTTCATTTGTAATCATTTGGAATACTTTTTTGGAACATGTGAGTGGTTTCCCTAATTGAAAAGTTATCCAATGACACGCCCCTTCCTCTACTACAGTTGGTATCCACCTTGTTCCTGAGGGCACTACTAGATCAATGATTATGGGTGGAACTTCCAGTGAGATATGGAAGTGGCAGTAAGCTAGTTATCCACATTGACTGTCTAAGATTAGGCCCAGTTGCTACTCTTAGTGGCTTCCTGCCAACAGTTGTTCTTTTCGAAAGTAATTCACCTTCAATTTAGCAAATACTATCTTGTTCTTAAACAGATATTTAACTAATGTCCTTGTGGAGCTCTGGTCCCTGTTGTGCTGTCCACATCAGTAACAATACTAACAACCAGACTATGCTAAATTTGTTGCTTCAACAATATTGTTTAGATGTGTAGCAAAAACAAGGAGGGATTGTTCCTGTTACCGGCAGTACAGTTTCCGACAGAAAGGCATAGGAATAGGTTGCCACTGGTAGGGTTGTCATGAGAACCGATACTTCGGTACCAAGTCGATGCCAACACGCAAAAAATACGTCGGTACCTGTTTTTTTTGGGTACCATAAGTACCGGATACAACTTTGCCCTCAGCAGGCCGTGTCGATTCCTGTCGGAACTGACGAGGGCAGTATACATGTGTCAGTCGGTGCCGAGGACGAGCGCCAAAGAAGAGTGCCTGTTCTCCATTGTCTTTGCTAGAAACAGTGGCTTTAACAAGTGCTGCTGGAGCCACAACACCTCAGCTTGTCGAAAAGTCAGATAGTAGGAGTCGTGTGTGGAGAGGGTTAGGCTTCATTTACACCGCAAGCAATGTGTTCATGTAGTGCTCGCGAACTGTTGCTATTTACTCGTGTTTTCATTTCGGTGAGCATGTTAACAGATTCGAGTGTTCACACCGCATCCGTTCTACGCACTGCTCGAGTCGCGCTGCTTTTGCGAGCAAGCTCGAAAATAGTTTTGTACGAGTCGCAAGCGAATGGTTGTGGTATTCAACAAAAAACACGAGTTTGCATGTGTTGTGACCTCTCTCGGCCACCGTAGACATCTCCCCCTTGAGAGACCTGACAGGCACATGTTTCATGTACTTACCCATTTGTAGTGCTAAATATTAATTCTCCAAGCGCTGGAATAATCACTGGCACGCAAACCTGCCCACCCTGGGCTTTAGGTCCAAACTCACTTCTTCTTTGGGGTTTATTGGAGACCAACTGTTCGGGTGTGGTTTGTATTTTGACAGGACAGCAGCAGCCGCTGCGAGACACGGCTGTTCGGTTTTGGTGTGAATACACGTGTGCTGCCGCAACGCTTGTGGCTCGCTTGCGGTGTAAATGAGGCCTCAGAGTTAAAGTTAAAGTTTGAAACAGTTTTAATAAAGTAGTGAATTTAGAAATACATGAGTTCAGTTTTTTGATTTTTATCGTTGTATCGAGAGTCGTGGAAATTCACTGGTATTGGTATCGACTACTGAAATTCTGGTATCCTGACAAGCCTAGCCACCGGTACTTATTTACTGAGTGCTGATCCTTTCTCTAGAGCACAAACTTCTCGTGTTTATTTGAATATGACAAAATGATACATAAAGAGAGACAGAGACAGAGAGAAAGATGCAGGACAGACAGTAATGATAATAGCTACAATAATATTCATTTCAGTAATAATATTATAATAATAATTATAACAGTGATTGTGTTACCATATCTTGTAAGTATGGAAATATATGATAGTATATGTATGTGACAAAAACAATAATATGTGTATAATAGAAGTATGACTAATAATAACAGCAGCAGAAGGAGGCATCAGGCAGGACCACGGCAGCAGCACAACCACATCACACGATCCAGGCGAAGCTGCGATATGAGGGAACCTGTGAGACCAGAAAGGCTCCAGAGAAGAAGCCAAGTTACTGACATGCAGTAAAGCTTAGTTAGCAATATGCAGTAATAGGACATGAATGTTAGCAAATGAAGAAGAACCAACTTTTCAGAGACTGAGGAGAGATAGAGAAGGAGAGAAGGTGCTCAGTGTATCATAGGAGGTCCACCTCTAGGACTAGGTCTAGAGGTGGACTAGACTAGGCTAGGCCTAAGTCAGCCTAACTAGGGGCTGGTCCAAAACAAGCCTGAGCCAGCCCTAACTATAAGCTTTATCAAAAGTTAAGTCTTAAGTCTAGTCTTAAATGTGGAGACGGTGTCTGCCTCCCGGACCATAACAGGAAGATGATTCCACTGGAGAGGAGCCTGATAGCTGAAGGCTCTGGCTCCTGTTCTACTTTTGGAGACTTTAGGAACCACAAGTAACCCTGCATTCTCAGAGCACAGTGTTCTGGTGGAATAATAGGGCACTATGAGCTCTCTAAGATATGATGGAGCCTGACCATTTAGAGCTTTGTAAGTTAGGAGAAGGATTTTTAATTCAGTTCTGGATTTTACAGGGAGCCAGTGCAGAGAAGCTGAAACAGGGGAAATATGATCGCTTTTCTTAGTTCCTGTCAGTACACCTGCCGCCGCATTCTGGATCAGCTGGAGAGTTTTTAAAGACTTATTAGAGTAACCTGATGATAGGGAATTGCAGTTATTCAGCCTAGAGGTAACAAAAGCATGGGAAAGAACGCAGTCCATGAACTTTGTTTTGAATGGGAGTTAAAAGACAAATCTTGATCAAATATTACTCTGAGGTTTCTTACAGTGGTGCTACAGGCCAAAGTAATGCCATCCAGAGAAACTATATCTTCAGATAGACAATTTCTGAGGTGTTTGGGGCCAAGAACAATAACTTAGTTGATCCATTTCTTCTGGCTTTATCGATAGATATAATTGTGTATCATCTGCATAACAATGGAAGTTTACAGAGTGTTTTCTGATGATGTTACCTCAGGGAAACATATATAAAGTGAACAGAATTGGTCCGAGCACAGAACCTTGTGGGACTCCGAAACAAACTTTTGTATGTAAAGATGATTCATCGAGAAAATGAACGAAATGAAATCAATCGGATAAATAGGATTTAAACCAGCTTAGTGCAGGACCTTTAAGGCCAATTAAATGTTCCTCAGCGGGTATGTGAGTGGGGAGAAACAGTTAAAAATGTGAACAGGCTGCTGGTGGACTGTGAGCGTTGGCTTAGTACTACGCTTCTCTCGAACAGTCACAGGCTTCCGGCTGCACAGGGGGATTGCTAGCAGAAGCTATGCTATGTGGCTCCACGCATGCTACAGGGGCCTGGCTAACTACTGCAGCTACTGAATGATTTTCCATGGTGCGGAGGCGCGCTTCCAATTCACTAAGCTATTCCTCCAACACAGCAAATAAACCACATTTATTTCATGTACCACTGTTGTGTAAACAACAGCTGTGATTAGCAAGAAAATCGTTGAAAGAAGAAGAGAGCTATGAATGCTTAAACGGAACTACTGTGGGTTTAAACGTGTACTAGATATTTAGCAGCTGATATGAGTAGTATCAGAAAAATAACTGATGTGAGCTCAGTAGGGCAGCACACAGATGCTATCATAGATAGAAACACTGGAAATGACAAAACACTTACCGCAGTAAATCAGCACATCGGTTTTATTATTATAATTAAAACCTGAAACCATTTTGTTTATGGTGTGTATGTGTAAAAAGTCTCCCCTCTGAAAAAAAACTAAAATAAAGAAGAGATTTTTTTATCAGTTATATTTTTTTCAATATTGTAGATAAGCAAATGGATATGGTATAATAACCATCAACTTTTACGTCACAGTATACCTTAACCAACAAACACACGTGCGCGCATGCACACATATATGCACACACACACACACACACACACACACACACCTCAAAATATTTGTGTACTTACAGGTAAAACCTAAATTTAAGTTCCTGACATTTAGTCTTTTGTCGACCCGTGAGACAGGTTGACCCTGTATGACTTCCTGCAGCAACACCTGATTACTCAACAGGGCAAGACAATAAATGCGTCACCTGCATGGACACTTGGAAACTGCCTTTATAAGACCAAACCTCCTCCATCCATAAACATACTCAGCACTGAGAGCGCACTCAACACTGAGAGCACACTCAACACAGCGGCACCCATGGATTTTCTCAAAAGTTTGACTGGTGATACTGACATTGCAAAGGCAGCAGGTGGGTATCATTTGGAAAATATTGCAGAGATTAGATCGTATTTGAGTTTTAAAGATACAGACGTTGTTATAGGCCCACATGACTTTGTTAAACCAGAGGTAGAGGAAACATTCAGATCGTTTATTAGGTATGCAGATATTTGTTTTAAACATTTGAGTAGAAAGTTTACAAAGATACTAAATAATAATAAGTGAGGCTCAATTTTGGGGCCTAACATGATTGGGCTATTAGGTCTATATATATTTGATGTGTTTGTTATCCCTTGTCTCCGTTATCTGCAAACTTAACAGCTGTTTGTTCTGCAGGTGAATTCGTGGAGAGCGGGGTGAAAAGTTTCCTGGGTTCTGGAGATGAGAAAGCCGAGGGAGCACCCAGTGCTGAAGGAGACGCCCCCATCACTGATGGCGAAAAGACAGATGACGTTGCAGAAGATAGCGGTGAAAATAAAGCTGACGATCAAAAAGAACCTGCCGAAAACGCCAAGCAGTAAGAAGGAAGAGGAGGTGAATCATTTAAACTGACTAATGTGAATAATGTGGAAAAAAAAATCATGTAATGTAATGTAATGTAATGTAATCTTATCTTATCTTATCTTATCTTATCTTATCTTATCTTATCATAAAACAACACTAACTGGGCTGTGCTGTTATCAGCTACTGCTGCTGCTGCTGCTTTCAACTTTGTGAGGAAAAAAACAAACATTGCCTGCAACATACAGTGGAATTCTTTGAGGTTTTTTTTTTTTTTTACTAACAGTGATAGTTGTGGGCCACAATCTAAAGTGTTAGTGAAAAATGTACTCCACAATTTCCAACAGCCCGTGATGATGATGTTAAATTACCAGCTTTGTTGGTCAGTCTGACATTCTTACAATGCAGCCAGAGTGCATTCTTTGTATAAGAGGAGACCACAGAGTCTGCAGAGACCACCCAGCTAGGAGCAGTTAATACTTAGGGAATAAGTTGTAATAACGACCCTAACACAAATGTCAAGCTATGTTTGCTGTTTGCAGCTATGTTTTTAAGCAGCTGTTAAACTGATCTGATTGTCTTTGATGTATTTTGGTACATATTTTTATTATTATCTCATCTTTGTCTGCCATGTTTTTCGGTGGTGGGAGTAATGAAAGTTGTTGAAGGACTCTTCAGTTAGACAGCCTGCAGACCACATCCATCAACCTCAGAGAGGAGCAACTCCACCTGAACTGGTGTCATATGAAACATGCACAACATCATAACTAAATGTTTAATTGAATGTAACAAATTTATCAACTGTGCTGAGGAAATCTGTGAAGCTTGTTAGACAAACTATGATGCATTACTAAAATGGTTTGACCTTAACCTATATGGTTAAAAATATCTATAAATCTTTAATGCCACCTGGAGATGACCAGTGTTTTCTGTGTCATGATTAAACAGTCATTGTCATAAATTACATGTACACCAGTGCAAATCCTCTTCTGTATTTTGGTGAAGACTGCTGATGCCAACTAAACTGCTTCAGCAACAGCTGTTTTGTTTTTGTTGTATTTAATCTTCTTTCACTAAATATTCAGCACAAAATTCAGGTTTAGATTTCATCAGTGGTGGAATTTAATAAAGTACATTTACTGTCTACATTTTCCTGTTTATAATTACATAATTCTATTGAAGGAACATTTTCAATAGTAAAAGTATGAGTATATAAGAGTATTTTTACAATTTGGTATTAGTACTTCTACTTTGGTAAAGGATCCAAAATCTTCCTTGACCCCTGGGTTTGATGAATTAGAAGGTGTTTAGCTGTGCATTTAAAAAAAAAAAAAAACAGCTCTTAGAGATGCTGGATGTCCATACTTTATGAGTCAGTACACAATGTTAATTAATTAAATGAGTCACAGAGATGACTTTTAAAAAGCTGTCTCTAGTCTCCAGTATTAATATTCATTTTGCTACATGAAATTGAATATAAATACAGTATAGCCACAAGTGACATTTATGGGTTCAAGCACTTTTTTTAACAGAGGGAAGCGGCTTCACTGTCCAAAATCAAAGCAACATAAAGGGAGTGCCTTTCAGGCTTCACAAAGCTGAGGAAGTCACTTTAGCTGGTTTATTTATTCATTTATTTTTTTTAAGCGGGAGTAAGACCAGTCTCACACTCATCATTACAGCGTATACAGCATTTAAATAATAGCACACTCAAAATCCTTCTGCTCTCCCTTTATCAGATATGAACAAATCTTGGTCAGTACGTTCAGGATGTCTCCTCTCAGTTTAATGAGGACTGCTCACAGACAACCTGAGTTATAGCCAATTTTCCTCTAAGCCCTGCCCTTTGCAAATACTTTTGGATTGATGGCAGCCATGTATTTTTAGACACATATCTTTGGCCAAATAGAATGTGACTGCATTGGTTATTTCAGTCAGTCTTTGGGAGCATGGATGGATACGGTGAGGTAGTGTACAGCGTCTCTGTTATGGACGATAGGGATTCAGTGAGGTGATGTTTTACTTTTTGGCTGTCATGCATTCGTCATACTGCAGATTTTGGTGTTTTTTTCAGGTGGTTGAACAAGTTAGTTGTGTTGCTTTGCGGCGCAGACACAAGACTTATGCATCAGAAATCCAAAATACTTCCACACAACATATGATGATCTGTTTTGAGGGAGCTCTTTTCCTTCCACTCCAGGCATTTCATACAGGCTCAACTGCCTCGGTCCATCACTGTTGTGCCAGTAATGATGGTAAAGCAGGCCCCCTTGTGTAATATCACTTAAATTGAAAATTGGATGTTAAGTTTAAACATATCTCCTGAAATATACTGTAACATAGTTCATCTTTTGAGATTTTATTCTAATAGCTAGGTATATGTGTGTCTTTCACAGTTTAAAAGACTAAGTAACATGTCCAAATCCATTCGACAAACTCGAAACAAAAATATGAAATTTTCCTTTTCTTGTAAACAAGGGTGTATGTTTCATTTCAACGCTGGGGGACACATATAAAATGAGGTACAATTTTGAGTATCAAGCACTTAATTTTCCACATTCAGGTGAATTTTTACGCACCAAATTGTGCATTATCTGCATCAGTTTATGGTGTAAAAGTCTTTTATTTTGTCTAAAAAGTCCTCTGCTGCTGTTATTGGGGGATTTCTAAATATTGATGGGGATGTGTCCTCTGGTGAAACTCATGGTGAAAATGTCAGGGTCAATGTGGAGTGCTGTCAATGTCAATGAGAGCGCTACTGTAGAAATGATTATGGGTGCTTCCGGTGAGATAGCAGTAGTTGCAGTAAGCTATTTAATCACACTGACTATTTATGTTTAGTCCAAAAGGCTAATCTTGGTTACTAAGCGCTAACAATGCGTCTTTTCAAGCATAATTCGCCTTCAGTTTAGCAATTTTGGCTTTGTTTTTTTTCCATTGATATTTAACTAACGTTAAATGATAAGTATTTTCTAAGATGTCCTTGTGGAGCTCTGGTACCTGTTGCGCTTCTGTGTCTGTAAGAATACTAACATCCAGACTGTGCTAAATATGAGGTTCCAACGACAGTATTAAACAACAGTGTTGAACATGCAGCCAGAACAAAAAAAGGATTATTCTATCACCTTCCTACAGAGAGGAATAGGTTGCCACACGTGTACTGTACAATGTTTATACCAGATCGTCCAGTATTCAAAAATAAAACGCACTTTCCCTCACTAAATCAGTACCGGACATGATTTGTCCTGCATTTTCATGTTCATCCTGCTCTAATGCTTTTACTACATTTTCACAAGCTTGGAATGACATACGAAATAATTTAAATAGGAGTTTTGAGAGCAGAGACACATTAAAGCAGAATTTGCTGAAGAGAATGACACCTACGCAGGTCTGTCACTCAACGTCAGTACATGATATCCCTGTCTTTACTGTCTCACTGCATTCTCAACCTACATTAGAATATTGCCCATTATAAAATATGATATAAACTCAACAGCATGCATTGCATTATGTGTTTAGTCATCTAGACTGAGAATGTGTTACTGATTTACCATACTTCTTTCATGTCATATAAAAAGAAATGCCTGACGGTATGTAATACTTTATATTACTGATATTACTGAAGTCTGCTGCGGAATTCAGCGTCATGTTTCACTCAGTATGATTATGATATAAAACTGTGTATACTGCGTCATTAAGGCAGACGAGCTAAAATGCCATAGGCTTGTCCTAATAACGTTAGCATGTTATATTGTCTGGAAAATGTGTTTAGTAGACAGTTGTTTTGTCGGTGAATCTTGAATCTCCTGTCTCTGGCTTCATATGAGTAGAGGAAATGTCTGATGGCCGCTACACTAGTCTAAACAAGTTAAAATGCCTTAGGCTTGTGCTGATTTTTCAATATTTGAATGTTGTATTTGTGGGAAAAATGTGAATAAAGACAAATGCTTTTCTAGTGAATCCTGCAAGTTATAGTGAAGCTGATTTGTGTACTTCTTTTGTCTCTATTAAGCCATGTTTAATGTGTGTTTGATTGTGTTTTGAATCAACTAAACTTTACAGCACTTCACAGAAACCCCGCTACCCACTACTGTTTTGGAGGTGTAATTGCTGAGTGACACAGACACCACCGCACATGTATAAATGCTTACAACAGCATAGGTCACGTGCGTAGGCTACAGCATAGGCTCTGCATGGAGCTGACACACAAGTATAAATAAAGAAATTAAAAAAGGCAAATTTATATTCGTGCAGAAGTCATGCCCATAATTCACACAAGGCATCATGAGGGGAAGGAATAAGGTGGATACAACTGTAAAGAAACATTCACAATGTCATAACTAAGTGTTTCATTAAATGTAAATGACTGGATTCTGCTGGGTGACACACCATTTCACCAGTTGCCCATATACATGTTTCTTTTCTAATTTTACACAATGAGAATGTACTAAAAAAAACTCTGAACACTGAAAAATTAATCATCGTGATGAAAATCCTAAATTTGAATGTTTTTTTCTGTTCTCTCTGTGCTATTTTGGGTTTTCTGCAGGTGGGTTTTCTGGCTTCCTCCCACTGTCTAAAGACATGCACGTTAGGTTGATTCAAACTAACAATCGAAAAATCAAAGTTTGAACGTTTTTCTGTTTCATCTACGTGACAGTCCTGTCATACACTGATCTGGTCTTGAGGTTACCTTCCTGTGTGTTCAATAAAAATGCCAAAATAAAAACATGCACATGTAATTAATTATTTTTACATGAGACCTTTTTCATGAGAAATTAAGAATGCCTGTTTATTTAAAACTCTGTGTTCAAGTTGAAATCCAACAAGTTAGGTTAATGGCCATAAAAAATTCAGTTGACAGTTTGCTTATCTGGTGGGGACTCATAACAGTCGACCCTCATTGCTCAGCCTTCCTCAGTTTGACCTCAGGTGACCACAGGGTGCTAAGTGAAGCAGCGGAAACACAGTATGTGTGGACTCTGTGTTGTGGTGGATGCTGGTCGCTTGTTGACATTAGCAAGCTCCACTGCTAAGGTAACATTAACTACTGTTCCACATTGTTAGCACTGTATAGGGCTGAAGAGAGACAGGCACTTGGGAGCATTGATATCGTCACATCCTTTGGATTTTCCTAAAAAATTCACAGAGTCCTTCACATGCAACTAAGAAGGTCAGGGAAAGTCTAAGTTTTTAAGTTACATTACAGCCTGTTCACCTATTGGCATAAAAAAAGATTCACACTAAAAAGTTACATACCTTTAAGTTCTGGTTTGTAGATGCAAGAAGGTTCTGTAACATGTCAGTTCTGAAGGTTAACGGGTTTTCATACTTTGTTTAATGCTATCAAATGTCGGCAGTTACTTAGAGTTTTCCATGTGTAGTGTAAGATTTAATCTTTAATCAGGTAAAAGTGTTAAACTGCATAAGTTGATTAAGAGTGAAGTTCATATAACCATGTTTTATGTTACCATTTCCTATAAAACTGTTTGTTATGCATCTATGCATGATAAAATAAGGTTATACAAGTTTATGTATTCATAACACAGGGTTATGCATTCACATTGAAGAGCACACATACACCACACCATGTATTGTTTAATAATAACCATGTATTGTTTAATAATAACACACACATACTCTTGAATGTTTGTATTGCACAACACACACTCTAAGCTCACATTGCATGAACGCACAGGGGACTGTATAGAGAAAGTCCCCAAGTTTTATATATTTTTAAAAAATAAAGTGAAACCAGGCTCAAACCTAATGGTGGGAGAATTTGGGGATTTCCAGGCCTAGGTCATGTTTGGGCAAGGGCCCAAGGGGCCTACTACCAATAGATTTGGACCAGATGGGAAAAGGCTAAAAAGAAAAGGATCTGCCACCAATAGGTTTGGGTTTAGGTGGGCAGGATTAAAGGAATTGGGTGGAGATTCTCTCGAATCTTCACCAGCATAAAAGAGAGAACGCAGAGAGAGAAACTTCAGTCATGCTCAGGAGCCTGACTCAATGAGTTGTATGTGTTGTTGCTTGTGAACACATTAAACTCGATTGCACCTGATTCTACTTGACTCCAGTGTTTCTCTGAGTGTTTGCCAACTGAACCTAAGGTACCAAATCAACATCAGAGGACGATCTGCAGGAG